TAGAAAAAATAATATAAAATATCACACCGTTACACTTAATGGAAGTCAATATCTGTATATTATGCTATCTACTTTGCAATACCATTACAGGATCAACACTGCTGGTCATAAAAAGTATCATTCCGAGCACAAGGCCTATAGTAGTAATGGGGAGGTGGGGGGAGGGGGAAAGCGGGGGCGCGGAATAGAAGGAAGGAGGGTCATTTCTCTCTTCCAACTAAAATGAAAAATAAAAGCAGTAGGGCATGTTGCTCAAAGGAAAATAGGCAAATTAAAGAGTACAAAAATAAAATATTCATGGCTTGTATTGTGAAAAGGAAAGTAAATAATTTAAGATGAATTGTTATGTGTAGAAAGTAGCATTTCCAAAGAGGAAAGAAGTGACTGTAACCAATTCTCTTTTCTGTACCTTTTTCACTGCTCTCAGCGAGACATACACACAGAACTGCTTCTGTGAACTGCAATTGCCATTGACATGCAAATCTAGTATTTTTTTTCTGATACCAATTTTATAAAGCTAATTGTATAAATGGAACTGGGTTACATTAAGACAAGAGGTTTTATTTTCAGTGGGCTTCTGAACCCAGACTGAATAAAGGATAAGAGGTTTCTTCCCTATGTGCACCAGTTTGGCTGTCTTTTTGCCACTGAATCATTAAGTACACAGTCAGTCTGGTGCTGGAGCAAAACATCATGACTATAGTCTGTTGGTCTCTGCCTACCGGGAACTAGCTATTAAAATTTCACTGGCATGGCTGCAGTCCATTAGCTAACTTACCTTCTTACCCATAAAGCTGAATGGCTACTCAGAAATTTTACAATCACTATCTGGAAAAAGTAATAACAGGACCACAGACGTGATACATTTAGTATACACTAGACTTGCAGCAGCTGCGGTGGGATCAGGGACAGAGTAGGGCAGATGTCACATTCCCTTGATGATTTAAACGTTCAGCCTTTGACTTAAATTAAAAACAGAGTTAAAACCCAACTTTGTGGGGCAAATATGTAATGACAGGCAGGATAATTAAATAACTATAGACCACAAATTAAGAACCTAGAGTCTAGCACTTATCAAACCCAGGATATTTTCTTCAGATTAACCTCTTGGTTAGGTCTGTCCAGAGCTCCAAGTGCTAAATGCTAATACTTTGAACATAAGTGTTCAACATCAGGAAATTCCAGTGCCCTGCAACAAGGGGTTAATTAACCCGCCAAAAGAGCAATTTAGAAAGGGCTTAAATGAAATTCTCTAACAATGAATGACACAATGGCCTTATTTAAAGCATAAAGTGTGTCATTACAGCACGGGGTTTTTCATGCAAATGAAGAATTCTTCAAGATGAAGAGAGTTGACTTGAGGAAGAGCATGCCTCCCAAACCTTGTCATGGCCTGAAACAATGATTAGTGCAGGAAGAAAGGGCTGAACTGAGAAATGAATGGGACACTGTCTAATCTCGCTGTTGTTATAGGTCTCTATGGAATACATAAAAGTTTAGAGTGTAACTGAACAGGAATAGTTTGGTATGTTCAAAAAGACTAACTGCTTAGTGTTAGACACTGGCTTTTCCTAACATTATGGCATAAATTCAACCACGTCTACATTAATGACAATATCGAATGCCATTGTTTATCTGTTACAGAACATCACGGGGCCTCCATTATGGGTCACCTGATAAGTCATTTTGCAGCAATGTAACACAGTATGCTAAAATTCAACATGATGCTATGTGAGCTAATGCTAAAATGCAAATACTTCACTCAAGTAGATGTCTGTTCTTCTTTGGATAGAGCACATAGGGGTCATAAATATATCACTACCAACATACCTTGCCCTTACAACCAAGAATAGAAGACCAAACATCATGAAATAAAGTGTCCTGCAAACAAATGCTGGCAGACGTTATTATGGTATTTTTAAAAAATGACAAATTGAGACCCAAAGGGATAATCACAGCAAATGCGGAAGCAGAAAGTTCCTGTTAAACCTTGTAAAACATAACACTGAGTTTTTAAACAGTGATTAGAACAATAGAAACATGCTTGCTTGATGGTCTCCCTGAATCATAACTACCTGAATAAAACTTCAATCCTTGAGAAATCTAAGAGGAAATCAATTATTTTTAATTAAAAAAATCCACAACCCACAAGTAAATAGCAGATGAGCAACAGATGAGGAACTAAATGAAATCTGTTAGCAACTGGTAACAGCTTTGGTATTTTCTGTTGTTAAAGGGAGGAGGGAGTATTCACCAGTGATTCCAATATGTTCAAATATCTCAGCTGTGAGAAAATCTCAGTTAATTTTTTCATACTAAAGACAAAGGTTAGGAGTGGTTTTAATACCTTAAATGCTATTGACAAGAGAAACAAGACAGCTCACGTGAACATAGTACAGATATGAAAAATATGCAATCACTATTTACATTGTGTATCTATTATGTATTTGATAGAATATGTCTCTCTGTCTGTCTGTTCAAGAACTCCTCCTAAACAGTAAGAGCTAGGGTCACTACATTTGGTATACAGCTTCCTCTTATCATAACCTAAAGCAGGATAAGGGTTTAGTTGTGTTAGAAAAATGGGATGTGGCTGAAATGGGATTGTTTCTGGGAAAACCATACAGAAAAGAGACAATCACCAAGAAGATGAAAGGCCCTTGCCCTGTCTAGGACTACCCCACCCCCGAGCCTTGCACCCTTTAGTGAGGGCACGGTGGGGGAGGTGGGGCTTAGCTCCCCCTTCTATTCTTGGGGAACATTGCTGGATGTTCCCCTTCCTCAGGGAGTGAGGGGAAAGTGCACAATTTGCTGCATTCCTCACTCTGGCTGAGAAGCACAGGGACAGACAAATCTGGACCGGTCCCAGCTGGGGAACATGCACTTCTCCCCTGGCTGTGCCCGCTGGAGCTGCAGCATCCACGAAGAAGCTTGGTCTCACCTTGACCAAAGGTATTGTGGTGACAGAGGACTAGGATAATCTTCTCTTCCTGGAACAATCTGCATACTGAACCCTTCATCCCCAATCCCACAACAGAGCAATGATTTAAATGAAGAAAAACAAAAATTAATCGAGTTGAGGACCAGAGCAATGCTGAGTAAATCTTCTAGTATATATACACACACACACACAAACACTTACTATGGTGTATAAAAATATTCTCCACAAAATATCGAATGTAATTTTCCTAGCAGGTGGCAGATTAGTATGCGTCTTGATCAGCTCTTCATTAACAAAAATCTCTTAATGACCAGATCCCAATGATGCTTCTCCACTGATATTTTCCTAGACTGGGGGCAGAACCTCCTTCCTTAATATCTATTCCTCTCTTGGCAACAGCAACTCTGATTTGCTGGTTCTTTTACTATCTCTTCTAGCTGCTCCTATAGCATCTCCTCTGTTGATTCTTCCTCCCTTCCTCTGTCAATCTAGCCTAGGATTATATCCTTTGCCCTCATTCTGCTCTCACTCTACACTTTTTCTGGGCAACCTCATAATTAGAATGACCATATCTACAACACAGTGTCTCAGGTTTCTTCCCTAGTCAACCTTTCTCTACCCCTGTTTGTACTCTTATTTTGATAACTCCTATGACAAGTCCTGCTGCCAGCTGAAATTCAACTTGTCAAAAACTCAACTCAACTTAATAAAGACATCCCACCTTTTTCCATAAATATTAATCATTGTCAGCTATCCTCTACCTAACAGAGACTCAACCTTTGTGTCATCTTCAGCTTCTCTCTCCCCGACAGATGTCCTGTCACTAAATCATACACATTTCACTTCAGTAATGTCTTACACATCTGCCTCTTTTTATGCTTTGCTGCTGCTAAAATCCTTGATCTCAAACCTTTATTACTTCAGCCTCTTCTTTCTGACTCTTCTGACACTCCCCTCACTCTAATGAATCAAAAACTTTGCTGTGAATATGAGCTCTGACATCTGATACTAACACTATATTCGTTCTCATTCTAAAATTCCTTCACTTGTGCCCCTAAAGCCTTGTTCATTCTTTTAAGGTCATTGGCTCCCCTCCACCCCCACAACTGCTGTCTACAGTTGCCCCTCTCTCATTTAGATATTATTTGAGAGTCAGTAACTAGATTCCTGTGCAGATATAAAAAGGTGGATCTGCTTCCACTAGGATCAATGTGTGATCCTTCCTGTGATCCACTCGCCTGTTTTGGCTTCTATCTGTGCCCACAGCAGCAAGCCATCAAGACGGGAGGGAGAGGAGATGAGTTGGCACGGGGCAAGATCTTGAAGGGAAGAGGCAGTGCGTGGGCAGGGAGTAGGGGTTAGAGACAGTGCAGGGGTAGGGACCTGAGGGAAAGGGACAGTGTGGAGGAGGGGCTGAGGGAGAAGGGGTTTCACATTGCATGATGCTCTTCAGCAAACAATGCCCGGCAGCAGCAACATGTGTTGCACCACAGTGGGGCAGCAGGGTGAAGTGTCAGGGCCCCACTTATTCCATTTGCTGGATGTGCACCCTGGCCCCTGCTGCCCAGGAGCATAGCCAGTGCTACTGGGCCAAGCCACGGTGGGGATGCTGGTGCTGGTGGAGGGGCCCAAGCCCAAGTGGCATGGCAAGCGGGTACTGGACAGCCCCGACTCCAGCCCATCCATCCCAATTCCCGCATTGGCTGGGTCCAACGCCCATATGCCATGGAAAGCGGGTACTGGACAGCCTCGATTCCAGCCTATCCATCCCAATTCCAGCATTGGCTCAAGGCCACCAACCCCGAGTGAGTTTCACCCCCTAGGCTGCCCGAGCCGGACACTGCCAGCAAATAGAGCCCTGTGTGATCCACTGTCCACAAAAATGGTCTGTGGATTTGCAGGACTCTGTCAATAAGAACTTGTGTGTTCTGAGACACTTAAGTGCTTTTGTTTGCTAAATGAGATTATCTGTGATTTCACTGGATATTTTCACGAGCTTCTTCAGGAAAATTTTTGGGCACGCCTGTGCTTGTATATGTTTTAAACACAAAAACCGTACCTCAGCATGGCACCAAAACCCTTCTTCTTAGTCTTCTTCTCTGGATCTTCATTTTCTTCTTTCCTTTTCTTCTCTTTGACTTTACCTTTGATCTTTCCCTTTTTCTTCTCCTTCTCTTTATATTTTTTGTCTTTCTTTATCTTGGTTTCTACATCTTCTAGTTCAGGATTCCCTTGTGGAGTTGCTTCAAAGTTCTGAGTTTCTTGAGCAGAGAGAGAGCTCTTATCAGACAGACCATCTACAGGGACAGAAAGAAAAATCAGTAAAAATGGTTAAGGACCATTTATGAGCAGGAAAATGCAAATGTGAAATCTGGAATCAGGAGATTAAAGTGCTGCAATAGTTCACAGTGCACGTTCATTTAACTGTATAATTTAAAATACAGACTAAACATATATCTAGTTAATTCAAGCAGGGCTTCTACTGTAAATTAAGCACAGAATTATTATAGTTACTTATTTTCTAGTAGTTATTTCTGGTATGAAAACCTTGACATGTGGTAAAACATTATTCTTTTCGAAACCTGGCCTGTTAACCTCCAACAATTCAAAAAAGCCCACAAGCTGGGACATAAACAGCAAGAGCTTATTTCTTCAAGAGCTTCTAAGAACCTGCATATCCTAACTACTATAAAAAACTAATGCAGTCACTCCCTGCTCTCAGCTATTTCTGATGTCTGTAAAAGAAACAGCAGTACAATCACTTTTATACTGCTTTGAGGAGACCAAGGCTGCGTCTAGACTGGCATGATTTTGCGCAAATACTTTTAACGGAAAAGTTTTTCCGTTAAAAGTATTTGCGCAAGAGAGCGTCTATACTGGCATGTGCCTTTGCGCAAAAGATTTTTTCTTGAGCTCTCTTGCTCAAGTAAGCTCCGATGGCCATTTTAGCCATCGGGCTTTCTTGCGCAAGAAATCAACTTGGCTGTCTACACTGGCCCTCTCGCGCAAGAATATCTGCGCGAGAAGGCTTCCTTTTGGCCAGTGTAGACAGGCGGCAAGATTTTGCGTAAAAGCAGCTGCTTTTGAGCAAAATCATGCCAGTCTAGATGCAGCCCTAGTGTAGGTTTACTTTAGAGTTCAAGAACTGAACATAGCATTACAGTTCATGCTGTAAAACAGGGATCTCTCAATCTGGGGATTGTGACTCTCATAGGTGTCATGAATAATTTGGGTCAAGCTGTGACTGCTCTGTCCTTCCTTTACCGTTAAACAGGGCTCCTCTAGATCTTAGCTACATGGGCGGGAGCTGTGGTGCGGTCTCAGTATGGAAAAGGGAGCTGGCAAAGGAAAAACTTGAAGCTGAGTGTCGTAAAACAAACAAAACAGCAGCAAAAGTTAACAAGACAGACATTACTTAACACAAATCGAAAACAAAACGGTTACATAAACCTTTGTGGAGTCTGGGCACGATTCACTCCCACTACTGAAATCAATCAGACTTTCTGTTGAGGAAGTGCAGTGTAAGTTCACTCAGGCCCTGGGACAGCATATATAGTAATATGGCCCTAGTTCAGCACAACAATTAAGCACATCCTTAAATCCCATTATGGATATTAGTGTTAGTGCTTTATTGGATGGCGCCTTAGTCTGTACTAAGAGGTGGAAGCTTTCCAAACAAGTAGATGCCCCGGCATACCCTCTTCTGCATCTTCAGGTCCATCATAAGATTTGTCAATGGCAGCTCGGAAGCTCTCGTTACAGCCGCGACCACGGACCATGTGAGGCCTGGGTCTGTGGAAAGGAAGTTCATTTTTCCTGACTTCAGCTACAGCCGTCTGCAAGCTCTCCAATGAACTGGACTTTTTTAAGCCCAGAGTAGGACCAAAATCTTTGCCTGGAGACTCTGGAGAAGGAAAAGCTAATGTTTACATAGAAATAAAAGTAATTGAATTATACATGTTGAACTGTATACATACAATACTCAGTGGCTTTAAAACCCGATATAAACCATGTCATTAATTTTAAAAACAACATCAAGTTGAAACTCCATGGAGATTTCAGCTAAGATTTGGGGAAACTTTAAAAGACAATTTACTGCTGTTATGCTGAAGCTCCCCTCTGATCAAACTGAAGATGAAGATTGCAATGACTGCAATCACCCCACTCAGGACACTGCTAAATGGTCCCTGTTAGAGATGATGTATCTGTAGAGCTCCCAAAAATATTTAGGAAAACAAATTTCTGGTGTTTGGAATGGCTCAGATTGCATGAACGGTAGATATTTGCAAACAAGTTTCCAGTGAGAGTACATCTCCAGATCTCCTACAAGTCACATAATCCTTCACTTCAAGTCACATGTGTTGAACACTGCTAAACTATCAATACACTCAGCAGATTTTCCAGGAACAAAGTATAAACTTTTCCACCAAAACAAACAAAATATAAATGTATTTGTCCGGCGATGCTGCCTCTTTCCTTTTGAAGAGAAAGAAATTAGATTTCTAGTCCTTTATTTCTTCTGCTGATGAACAAACACATCCATCTAATGCCCGACAGAATTTTTTGGGGAAGCTACTGCTAATATCGTAGCTGTGCCTCACTGCAATTTATCAAGATTTTTCACCTACAAAAAAGGATTCAAGAGATGGGAAAGCTAAGTGAGAGCTCTTGGGTATACTAATCAGGGGGAAGGAAAGGTAGAAAATGAATAGTTGTGATGCAATCTGAAATAGAATTTTGTTTTTTCACTTAATTTGTATATGACAAGCCAGGAAATGGAACCAATCAAGGCATAAAATAAAAGCAGATTATGTATTCTAAAGTGTCAGTGTAAGTCATATTAAAAGATACAGTATATTAAACAGCGTCGATAGGTGTTACTACCACAAGTAGCTGTATGACATCAGAACAAGAGACTTTCACATACAATTTACTGACTGCTGCTACTGAAGAGATTCTACAATCACAAGAAAACCAGGAATATTGATACCATGCTGTTACTTCAGCAATTCAGGAAAAAGTCTCAGTCATTTTAAGTGTCCTTTTTTGTGAGAAATAAGGGCTGAGAAATTTTAAAAAATATGAAATTAGTAAAATCTTAAAAGAAACTGGAAAAGCTAAGCATTGGCATCAAATGTTGAATCGTCATAAAGGTCTACACAAAGCAATTTACATTGCCATTCCCTAGGGACTTTGACATGAGGTTAAAAAAATGAAGAGACAGAAACACATTTTAAGGGAAACCTTGTTGCTAGGTCACGAAGTGCAACCTTCTTTTGTTCACTAATTGCCATTCTGGAGACTACCATTATTGCCAAATTAGTGAGTGCTAAAATGGATTTAGAGCATTGACTTGCATACAACATAAAGGTGCTTAAAATCACTCAAAACGTGTGCATCAGTAAAAGGCACTGTGGTGCCTGTCTGAGGTGGAGAGTGAGGAACAAGAGACAAGGGAAGCATAATCACTGCAAAAGAAAGGGCAAAGTGAAAACCTCTCTGATCAGCACAGAAAGGGCTTTTCAGTCAGAAAACTGCTCTGATTGCCAGGTTTGGACAGGAAGCCACTACACAGCTCTCGATAACTGAGAGTATGATACACTGGAGCAGTTAAACTAAATACAACCCTGGACCTGGGCAGGGCCATGAAGCAGACTTAGGGTTAGGACTACTGTCTGACAAATGTAGGCAACATTATTACAGAGGTGATACCTTTGACTTTCATGGGGAGCAGCTGCTGCCTGCATCCGCGACAAATAATTAATAGAACATCATTAACAGCAGGATTGGAGAATGTCATGCACAGAGTTCTCACCTCCACAAAAAAGATGTAATACATAAAGAAACTAGTTTTAAATACCCTTAAGTGGTTGTCTTATATAGAAATAAGCCAGCAAGTTCAGGCTGGAAAACTATCCTTAACTCATCAATGACGTCCATATTGATCTCTAAATAAGTAGGAAATATTACACAGAATTTGTGCTTATGTGAGGCACTAAAAGAAGGGATAAAGAGAATGTAGAATTTAAAACACTATCACACGAACTATAACCATTTGGGGTAAAATTATCCACATTATATGCCTGTCTCATCCTGATTTTTTTTTAAATGTTTCAGCTAAAATGGTTCAGCTCTTTTTGGGTGTGTCTATACTGCACCTGAAGCTCAAAATAAGCTACGCAATTTGAGCTACACAAATTGCATAGCTTATTTCGAGTTAATTTTGAAGTAGTTTATTTCAAAATTTTGCGCTGTCTACGCAGCACCAAATTTCAAAATAAATCGCTATTCCAAAATGTCCCTTACTTCTCGTGGAATGAGATTTACAAGGACGTCAGAACAGCGAGCCCGCTGTATTTCAAAATAACTGGCGCGCTCAAAAGACGTGGTTTAGCTATTTCGGGATACCACCGGTATCTCGAAATAGCATTGCTGTGTAGATGTAGACTTTGTGAACAAGCTTAGGGATATAACTTTGCTGTCAGAATTCTGTCTTTTATCATGTAAAATGTAAATGAAAATGTAATCAAATTTGGCCAAGTTTCGTGACTGAAAAATCTTGGCTAGCACATGCTCAGTACAGACTTGCTAAACTTTGGGAGCTAAATTCTCCAAAGATTCCAATTGTACTGTGTCCAGCCAGGACTGCTAACAGACGTGAGGAGCAGTAGCCAAAGTCCCAGGTTCTTTATATTGCCCTGGGAACCTCAGGCAGCACTGAGGGCTGGCTGAGGGTGAAGTGGTGTGGTTTGGGCTGCACTGAGGGCTGGCTGCCCTAGCCCCACCCCTTCCCCTCAGGCCCCGCCCTTCTGGGGAGCCTGGAGAGGAGCAGTGCCCACATTGCCCAGGAATGGAGAGCAGAGCGATGATGTGCCCTATGCCGTGATGATCAGTATCACTTATGCCTCGTATTTCACTGGTGAGCAGTCCAGTTTCAAAGTAAACTTTTTATTATAAACAGAACTCTGTACACAAATGTGGCAAGAAAAGACCAACTATTCTGTGTAATTACAGCCTGCGACTGCCTTGTGCTGGTCTCCTTTGTTTCTGCCCCCAGCCATTCAGTATGTCTAAGAAAACAAAGAGTGTACAGGAAGAATGACATCTGAACACTCGCAGGAGGATTTGCTTCAGAACAGCGCTTCCTTCTTAAAAACATCTTTTGATTGAACCAAAAGATAATCAAACTATTACAAATGCAATAACTGACTCAACTCTTTTCTTAAACAGACCCCTAACATGTTTCAGTCAATGACGAGGGGGTTTCAGCAGCCTTCCCAATCTGCTGCATTGCAAATCCTCTTTTGTCAAACACTTCTTTGTAACAGACTGGCCAGTCTCATGGTCAATAACAGGGTCAGTTTATGAATTGCTCTAATCTTAAGTGAAGGGAGAGCAAACATATGTTGGTACCAAATTGTCAGGTGTCTTTGAGCAGACACTTACGATTCCTTAGAAAGATTTTGCCTTAAGCAGCGACCAGAATATGAGTGAGGTGACTCTTCCATCAATGTAGCTCTGACGGATCAGTGCAATTCTTGCCTCCTCCCACTGACAGTGCCTGTCTACACTAGTGCTTAAGTTGGCATAGGGTATGTTGCTTAGAGGGTGGCTAATTCTCCTCCCTGAGTGACATCACTTATGTCAACTTGTTCTGTAGCTTAGCATAGTTTTGGCCGTCCTTTCTTTTAGTCAGATACTTGAGTATTTATACATCTGTTGTAAATGAGTTTCGTACTTCTGACCTGTTACATACTTTGCCATTACTTTGATGTCACTATTCAGCTGCTGTCAGAAAACAATTTCTCTAGCTCTCCCCACTCATTTCCAGGTAGCCTTCATATATTCAATCCAATATTTTCATTCTCATCACTTGGAGAAACACAAACTCTGTTCCCTGCAAGAGCATGCCTAAGATCATTGAAACCCCATGTTTACAGTAGGAGCACACAGATACGAAGGGTTGCTTTTTAACTGCTTTGCTCACTGCTTGTAGCACTCCTTACAGTCTTTCATCTTCAGCAGTTTTTGTCTACGATTCATCCCATATACCTGGAGATACAGCACAACACTCATTATGTTCACACGCATGTTTACTGTCTGCTGCAGGCTATGTTTTGTCAGATGGATCTTGTTCTCTTGGGAGTGTGTCTGTCTTTACTGTGTGGCATCAGTTGGAAATCCTCAGTCATGTCATACTTTATCAAAAGCAGACACTGTATTTGTGGTGGTGCTTCTCCAAGTCCTTTATTATGTAGTGAGTGGTTTGAGAGAGTTTCTGCTTAAAGCTCTGACTGTAGTGAAAGTCATGTTGGGGTCTACTTGATTCTTTGATGCATAAGGCAAGACCCTCTCAGAAGTCAGTCTCGCTTCCAAATGTGATATTTTTGTCCCCATCTCAGAGCTTAGGGGGACTCACAAAAACTACTAACCCTGGAACCCAAGAAGAGTTAATCGGAAAACCCTGAATCTTAGTCTTCCCTGCCCTCTCTCCCTCCTGACTTGGGGCTGTTGTGCCAGGGGACTGAGGTGTCTCAGGAGGGGGCCACATTTGTGAGGGTTGGAGTTTATTTGTTGGGTGGGGGTTGCCTCTCACTTTTGTGTGGTCCCCAACTGATTCTTTTGTGGATCAGTGGTCCCCAAACCAAAACAAATAAAAAGGTTCCCCACTCCTGCCATAAATAAAGATGATGTTTAAACCTTTTGTTTTGGACATCAATTAATATTTTACTTTATTTGAAACAGTTTGGTAAACTAACATGATACAGTTAAAGAGCTTGATCTGTTTACTTATTTTAATTTTAATTAATAATATTTCCATACTTACTGGTCATATACATCCCCTTATGTTATAGCTTCAGAAGCCTAATACAAAAAATTTAGTATTTAAGGTATTTAGAGATA